AAAAAAAAAAAAAAAAGGACCCTGGGGACAGAGAGTGAGCAGGCCCAGCGTCCTCTCTGGAAGGACCCTCCTGTCCAGCAAGGAAACAGGAAGTTTCACTTCTAGGTGGTCAGGACTAAGGGAGGGAAGCATGGGGTCCTGGGGTCCCGGGGAGGGGTGCTAGCCCAGAGGAGGGAACGTAATGCAGGCACAGGAATGAGCAGCTGCAAAGGCACAGAGGAGTGAACCACCAGGACGTACTGAGGGAGGATCAAGCAGGTAGTAGGCTGAGCCCAGGGTGCAAGGGAGAGCCGCGATGGGACGCAAGGCCAGAACCATGAGGACTGTGGGGCCCCCGTCGGGGGCGTCAGGCAGGGCAACGCCGAGCTGAGGACTGTGCTCTGGACTGGAGGAGTGAGTCTGGAGGTTGCTGCAGCCACCCGAGCAAGAGAGAAGAGGGACCCAAAGCAGAGTTTAGGAAGCAATGCAATGGAAACAACGTCAGGAGGCAAAGGCAGTTAGATGCTGTCCGAGATGATCTGCAACACTGTGCACTCTGGAGAGCGCTGGGCCGTCTGACTCTCCGGAGCCCAGCGGGCGGGACGGCACTGTCATTCAGACCTCATGGAGGAGCAGGGAGAGGAAGTGACCGCCCCAGCACTAGCAGAGTGTCGGCGGCAGAGCGAGGACCGTGCCCAGTGTCCAGGCCTTAGGACGGCCCACCAGCTCCTTCCCGCCCAGGCACCTCTGGGCACCACCGAGCGCCACGTTCGATTCCGGGGCCAAGGAGCTGCCCCTGAGAGGGATCGCTTTCTGCCAAAACCAGCCATCTTTAGAGCAGAACTTTCGAACAAGTGCACTAAATGCAATCTTGCAAAGGCTTCTGCAGAGGAAGAGAGGCCGCTGCCGACGGCAGAATTCCCACCTTCACCGGAGGACATTTTGGCACTGAAGCAGCCCTGTGGGCTGACCCTAGACAAATTCCAGAAGCAGGCAAAGGCTGTTCCATGGCCGCCTCACTTCAGCTGCCCCAGCTCTCCCTCCCGGGCAGCCCCGGCCCTGAATCGTCCTCCCAGCCCCAAACTCCCCAGCACACCCCACAGACCCGTCAGTCCCATCTCCGCCAAGCGCTAAGAAGAGCCAGGAGCAGACCTGTATTTAAAGCAGAGATACCCACTGCTGATGGCCATCCCATGCAAAAGGCGGCAATATGGCTCCTTTCTAACCGTTTGAGATTCTGCTGGTAGGATTTTTATCCTGAGAATGCTGTTTAACAGCAAAAAGCACATTAACATCGACGTTTATTAAAGCTCCAAACCAGAGACCGCTTTAATAATCACCACAGTAATGGTTTTGTGACTGAGGATCATCTGAAAACAGTAATCAGGAAGCCCGTGTGAAAGGGTGGGAAACACTTATGATGTAATATTGGACGAAAACAAAGAAAGGATGCAGAATGGCACAAAACCCAATGTCAACAATGTAAGTTCATGCCTGCACGTGATCGCCAAATGAAGAGAAATATATACAAAGCAAAATATCGTCACCCTGTACAATCGTGAAGGATTTTTTTTTTCACATTCTTTTTTTCATATCATCACATCATCTTCTGGTGAAAATTTTAAATTCCTTATCAAGGAGAGATTAATAAACCAATCGCCACAAGTTCTAAAGCATGCTGACTGGGTGATCTTTTAAGAGATTTTAATTTTTCTAAATTAAAGGCAATAGATAGAATTCCCAATCCCAGAAAAGATTAAGTCCAAGCTTTTAGACGATACTTGTTTATGAAGTATGTCGACACTCCCTGTCCCGCTGGATGTGCGCACCCACCCTGTGGGTCTTAGGATGACGGCCCCAGACACCTGAGGCTCTGCAAGGTCAGGTGCTGCTCCAGGGACAGCACTGGTCTCGGGAGCTAAAACCTCATTCCTAGCCCCGGCTCTGCCACCTGTTTGCTGTGCTGCTTTGGGCAAGTCCAGTACCCAATCTGGGTCTTAGTTCCTTCATCCACAGAGCAAAGAGGATGGCCCGGCTGACTGCCTTGAGCCTGACCATTTGCTGGCTTATTCCTGGCCTGCTGCTGGGCAAGTGACAGAGGAGTGACAAGCAACCCTTGTCCTTTCTCTGCGACCCTACACAGCCTCTGTGAGGCTAGACCATAAACCCACGAGCAAAGGTAAAACAGGAGCAGTTTTCAAACCAGGATGCTTTTAGGATCCTACAGACACTGAGAGTCAGAGTAAGATGTTTAGATTCTCTTTGAAAGGCAGTACGAGGGATTAAAAAGCATTGTCAGCAGCGGAGTGCTATGGTCAGGGATGAATGGATGCGGGGACGAGACTGGAGGTGATGAGAGCATTGGCAGCCCAAACTCCACTTCCCTCCACCAAGAGGCCCCCAGATGGAGATCACCCCTGGCTCCCGGGGCACCGGGTGGTCTGCTGTCAACGGAGGGACACCTCCGTGGGGCAAGGGCACCCTCCAGAAGCTCCCGTGTCCCACCGACACACACAGGGCAGCAATCTCCCTGAGGAGGCACAGGGACAGTACCATGCTTGTCCAGCTGTGGGGGCCACTCAGGGACGGACAGGGTCTGGAGAGCCACTGGGAGGGCTGCTTCCTGAGCCTTCTTCCCCTCCATCGTCAGCCGCTCCTCCAGCTTGCTCTGCAGTGTGCTGTTGGTCTCGATGCTCTTTTCTAGCTGCCCCCGCAGAGCCTGGATCTCTGTTAGGAGACCACGCAGGTCACTGAAAGGGTCCTGCGCCCTCCAGCCTTCTCCTGACGCCTCTGCTCCGGCCTCTGCAAACGAGTGCAAGGGGAAAACCTGACGTCTTCCTCCACCAAAGGGTCAATCATCAAAGGAGCTCAATAGTGTTTTAAACCCGCCAGCACCACCACCCTCCCCTTCCTAAGAACTAGGTACAATTTAAAATAACAACTTGACTTTAAAAACAAAAATATTGGCAGACTTAATTGCTGCTATTCCACAGGCTAAATAAGAGCTGAAAATTAATTTTCGCTTCTGGCCATAAAAGCTGAGCAAATTGCACACCAAACCCCGAAATTATGTCTGGTAGTAATAAAATCTATTTGGGCTGGAATTATAGAATGAAAGGGGCTGATTTTAAGAGCCACAGTATATTAAAAAGGCACAACAGCAAGAATAAGAAAAGCAACGTGAAGAGAAAATGGAAGGTGTGAGGTGACCCTTCTCTAGATAAACTTTCAATAGGGAGAAACCATCTGGAAAATTCGTTTAAAAAAATTGCTACCACACCTCAAAATTGATTCTAAAACACTGGGGTTTGCAGTCAAGTTGCTCTGATCTGGTATCTATCAGAGGATCCGGGCCAACAACCATCTCCACAGCAATGCCCTGCGTGTGGCAGGCGCTCCAGAATTATTGGCCGAATGCATGGGCAAAAAGAAACACACTCTAGCGGAAAACTCATAATCAAATTATTCCTTGACTGTCTGCTATGTCCCACGTACTGTGGTAGGATGCTTTTCATAAATGAGCTCAATTTTCACAACTCTACAGACTAGCTATTAGGAGACACGTTTTATGGAGGAAGAACCAGGCCCAGAGGGGTGAGGTGAGCTGCTGAAGGTCGCACAGCTGGGAGGCAGGGCATGAGAATCCAGGCCTCGGGGGCCCAACTCCCGAGCCCAAGTCTTTCTGTGGTTCTCACTGCTTCAGAAGAACGGGCCAGAGGGCTTGCTGCAAAGTGTGCCCCCTCCGCCAGGCAGGCCAGCGAGGGCTGTGACGACAGCATTTCGGGAAAGGGTGCTGAAGTGAGCTCCCGGCCCAGACGCAGCAGCCCCAGGACGGGAAGCGCCTTGGGCCAGCGCGCCCAGTACCTCTCGGCCTCCTGTGCTCCTCCTCCAGCCTCTGATACACCTTCAGCTCCACTCGGAGGGACTGCAGGAGCTCGTCGTTCTGGCAGAGCAGCTGCTGCCTCAGCTTCGCCTCCTCCTGCACCCTGGAAAGGCCCCAAGGCCACAGGGAGGAGACGTTAACTCGGACAGGGCCCGGCCCCGTACTGGCACTGTCTACCCCATGCGGTCTTCTCGGCCACCCGACGGGGGCATGCTATCTGCCCCTGAGCCCACGGACGCCAGGAAGCCAAGCTTACAAGGTTCCGGCTTAGCCAGGGGTGCAGAACTCGGGAGGGGCCCAAGACGAGGATCTTGCTACGTCAGCACACCACCCTGGGTGACCGAGGGTGACCGAGGGTGACTTCGGTAACTCTGAAAGAGCGGGGCACTCACGAGCGCCGAGGAACAACGGGAAACACGTGGGACAGGACAGGGGCGAGGGCAAACTGCACCAGGGGCCCTCGGTACGGGTCCTTTAATGTCTAAGCGGGCCTCCTGCCCCTCAGTGCAGAACCTCCCACGGCCTCCCCAGGCAGTGAAAGCCGAGTCCCTCCCACGGCTGCGAGGGCCTGTGGGACTGGGCATCCAGGCATCTCTCTGCCCCCCTTCCCTCCAGGTGCACTAGCCTCCCTGCTCTGCCCTGCACAGGCCAAGGACACCCCACCCCAGGGCCCCCACCCTTTCTGCCGCAAATGAGCTCCCTCCTACCATCCCGCGATCTGCAGAGCTCGGCCCCTTCACCGCCTTCAGGGCGCTGCTCAAGTGCCATTTTTTCCAGAGGGGCCTTCCCTGACCTCCCCTGGATAAAAAACCAGCGCTCTGCCGCCCAGGCCCCAGCCTCCTCCCTCGGATGATTCTGCTCCACGTGCTGGATTCCCGTCTGACATGACATGCCCCAGCACTTGCGGGCCTCCCCGGCGCGCCCCGCTCTGAGACCGGACGCCTGGCACGGCCAGCGGGGCCGGGGGGCCCCTGAGCCCTACCTGCTCAGCTCGCGGCGGCTGCTGCAGGCTTCCTGGAGCAGCTGCTGGTTGTGCCTCTCCTGCTCGCAGACCTCGCTCTGCAGCCTCTCATTTTCCCCCTTCACACGGGCATACTCTCGCTGAAGGAGCTCGAGGCTCGCAACCTTCCTGGAGAGGGACTCTTGTAACTTTTCATTCTTCTTCTGTTTATCTGCAAACACAAAAAAGCACCACTGAGAAGAGACACCATTTGTTTTTTCCAACCTTATTACGCAAACACGGCATTTCAGCTCGAGCACTCCAGGAATACAAAGCAGAACGAGATTTAATCTGGCATTTATGATTCTGGCATTCCAATTATCTTATGCATTTTGGGCAGATAAATCTGTCAACATCAAGGCTGCAGATTAAACGTCACTGGGATGAAATGGGCCTGTTTAATTTTCTATACAATAGTAGGCCGTGCAAACCTACTTTGCCTTCACAGAGCAAACAGTGGGTATAAATTATAGACAGAAGCAAGAAGCAGCCCCAAACTCTGGCAATGGGTGTGAGGGAAGTCTGCAAGCCCCCCAGTAAGGAGGCCAGCAGGGCTAGGCCCATCCACTCCTCAGGCTGGGAGGACAGCACCTCTCCTGAGGAATAAAATACGCCCAGGGTCTGGAGATAGGCAGTTAAGAGCGTGACCTGGGGGCAGAGAGGCGTGTTCAAGTGCACTTTGCTGCCCACTGGTGCCAAAACCTCAACGGAGTTTCTTGACTTCTCTGTGCCTCCGTTCCCCCACATGCATCGTTGTGAGGATGAACTGAGATAGTCCACGTAAAGGGCTTAGCGCCGGGCTTCACGGGCGCTCTGAAGGGTCTAAGCACTCCCCGGGCCAGCTCTTCGCGGGGCCCCTGGTGGTGGCTACCACGTCCGCAGCTCTTACTGCAGGCCTTACACTAAGACCTGCAAGGGTATCATCTTATTTCTTCTTTGGAGCAAACCTCCGAGTAGGTACGCTTTTTCTCCCCATTTTCCAGATCGGAAACAAAGCATGGCAGAGGTGAAAACTTCCCCAAGGTCACAGAGCCAAACAGTGCCAGAGCCAAGATTGAGACCCAGCTTTTCTGATGCCACCTTTCACCATGGCATGATGATTTCTGAGCAAGTATTCCCTTCCTCCCTCAGACTCCAGCCACACTATGCTTCCTACAATTCCTGGTCTATACTCTCCCCGCCTCTAACACCTAGGCTTTTGTCTGCTCTCTTTCTTCTATTTAAAAAGGCCCTGGCTCTTCTAAACCTTAGGCACCGTGGCTAATCCCTACTTAGCCTGCTGGACTGAGCTCTCGAAGCCGAGCCTCTCCTGGGGCAAGACACCATCCCCAGGGTCCTGTGCTCCCCGAGCCTGCCTTTGTCCTGGCTGATTCTCACGCTGGCCTGCCATGGGTTCCCTGGCTGTCTCTCCCATCAGACCATGAGCCCCTCAAGGGAAGGGACCAGGACCCACTCATTTCTGTATCAGTCTATGCAGGCCCTGACACGTTTGCTGAGTGAATGAATGATCTGCAAAAGCCTCGATTCTGTCTCTTAAGCCAAAAGCAGCATCAATATCCTCCAGGGAGAATGGGAGAAGCTGGCCCAACTCCTAGCTCTACAGATTTCTAGCTCCGGGACCACCGGCGGGTCAATTCCCTAGGCCTCAGGTTCTTATCTGTAAAACAGGACTAGTAATTCCTCCATCCAGAAACATTTTAAGTACTGAGAGATAACATAGTTGTGAAAGCCCTTCTTCGTGGGTTAAGCTCCAAGAAGAAACAATTAAGAGAAGGGATCTTCCTAAGAAATACTGGAAAAAACCTTCTTGATAAGAGGGAATCTCTGGGTGAGATTTTGGCAGTAATAGATTTCCAGCCTGTCTGTCTTCCACTGTAACCTGTGTCCTTATTAGAGATGTTAGAGATGCCGCGCTGAGGGCTTCACAGGGCTGTCACAACAGCCCCATGAGGTACTCCTATTTTATAGCTAAGAATACTGAGGTTCAGAGAGGTTAAGTGACCTGCCCAAAGTCACAGAGCCACAGAATTTGAACCTGGGTTGAACCAATGCATTCTTTCCATGCCACAGAGGGCTGTGGGCGTCCAGGCTGCAGGTGGCTCCTTTAGTTCCTACCTCTGGATCCCTTGGCCAGCACTGTATTGAGAGCCTGGTTCTGCTTCCTCAGGAAACAGATCTCTGATGTCAGAGAATTATGCAGCTCTGATCCATAAGCAAAAGCATTTGTAGAACCTATAAAAACACACATAAATAGTGATTTATGGTCACCAGATCAGTATGGATGGAACTTTCTAGAAAACAGTTTTAAACAACAAGGAGACACAACATGCGATGGAAATCACTCCTGTGAACCAGATGAGGTATCACCAGAGCCCAAAGGGAAATGAGAGTGAGCATGAAAGAGGTGGCAAGAGCCCCTCCCTGCCCATTCTTTCCTCCTAAGGGTGAACAGAGGTGAACAGGTTCGTTTCTGCACTCCCCTGCAGACGGTATATCTACCACGCCTACTCCGAGCTGAGACCTGGAGCCATCCTCTACAATGCCCAACCAGACCATCATGACTGCTGGTTCTTCCTCCCAAAGGCCTCAGACACTGACTCACTCTTTTTCTGTCCCTGTAGTTCAGACCTCATCAGTGCGCCCTGACCTTGCCTCCCTGCCACTCGGCCAGTGGGGCTGCACACAGTCCGCTCATGATATTCTCTGCTCAGAAACACTAGACGGCCGGCCCTCCACTGCAAAGACAGACAATCGAACAAACCAAACACAAGGCCCAAACTTCAGGTCTCCACGACTTCACTCCAATCTCATGCACACCCCCCTCCCTCTCCACCCTCTACTCTAGTGTCCTCGAATGCAGCCAGGCAGGGCTATGCCAGTGTCCCACACATTGTGGGGTCACACATCTCCCTGACTTTGTACAGTGAGGTCTTTATTCCCTGTGCCTAGAATGCCCAGCTCCTTCACCTGTCAAAACCAAACTCGTCTTTCAACTCTTAGCTCAAGTTCACTGTCTAGTCTAAGTGTTTACTAAAAAGATCAGGGTCTGAAGCCAGACAGACTGGGTTTGAGATTATCTACAAACTCTGATCAGTTTAGCCCAGGCTGTGGTCTATCTCCTAAAATCCTACCGCTTCCTCTGGCCAGACAGCTGCCCTGACACCCCACCTCAGCTTTCTATGCCAGCACCATATATGACGTCCAAAGCACAGGAACATGCTACCCGCTGGAAAGCCCGGGGCTTTCTACATGGGGCAGGCAGATGCTTCCCTCCCCGCCTTCCCTACTACACCGCAGAGCCAGACACTGCTTTCCCAGACTCTCGTACAGCTAGAACATGGCCAGCTGCCCCTTCCGGTCAATGAGACCTGATGGGAAGCCTGCTGGAGGCTTCTGGGAAAGATTTCTCACCCGGATGAAAAAAGAAGGACAGGGAGGAGCTCCATCATCTCCGTTCCCATGCTGTGGACACTGTCCTGAGAGGATGTGATGCTTAGAATTACCGAGGTCATCATGGAGACTGACCCCAAGCCCTGCTACCCTATCACCGAGCCAGTAAACCTGTCTTGGAACCGCCTGCGTCTGGATATCTTGTTACGTAAGAAAACATAAATCCCCATTGTTTACACCGGTTTTTACTCATATTCTGTTCTCTGCAGCTGAAAGCATCCTGGTACGCAACTGACTACCGGTAATAATCAAACTCCCCGTAAGGACAGTGGGACGTCAGGCCTCCCAGAAGCCCACGCTACACATTCTCTCGCTCTACAGCACCCCCCTTCCTCATGTTAATGATTCACAAATCACAGCGCCATGTAATTTTTCACTGACATGTGTCTCTCCCCGCCAATCTCCTCTACTCTCCCCTATGAACTCTGGTGTCTTCTCGAAGACACCTGGGTCTGAATCATGGCTCCGGCTTCTTAATAGCTGTATGACCTGAGGCTCGCCGCGTCACTTCCCTAAGTCTCCACTAGCCCGATAAAAATGATCCATGTTGTTATCATTACTGCTATTATCATTTGAATTAATATCATAACTGGTGGTGGGCTAGAGCCAAAAACAGGACCAAAGCGCCATCTGGGTGAACAGGAACAATGCTACAGAAGAAGTCTGCTCTGACCACAGCTGGGGTGGCCCCTTCTCAGAGGCAGAGTCAGCCCCGAGGACAGAGCCTGATGGAGCCTCAGCTGGCGGGGTCTCGTCTGAAGGCCGACACAACCGCTCCTCTACCCGATGACAAGTTAACACACGAGGTGGCAGTTTTTAACAATATCCTGCCTCCGCATCACAAGGAGCCATGCCTTTCTCAGACCTGCTCCCAAGATGAACACCTCACAGCAAGGAGTAGGCGGGGCCACTTTTATTCCTTTGTCTTTCTAGAGATTGTGACAACATGGTGAGAACAGCATGTCTTTCCACCAGTGTAAATACTTTATGAATGCCTTTTTGTAAACCTTCCCATCGGAGTGAATTACTCTCCAGAGCAATTACCAGCTCCATTGTAGCTGGTGGGCCACTGGAGCCCCCAAAGAATTCTATAATTGGATTTGCCAGGAAAAATGTAAAACAGAATGAATCTAATTCAGGCATTACCACGGGTGAATGTGAAGGGCCCAGGCATGTATTTCTTCCCTGTGTTTGATATGACTAATAACTCAGGTTAATCAATTTCCCTGGGGGTGAGAGAGAGGGAGGAAGCAGGATGGGGGAAGGGGCTGGAGAGAGAGAGAGAGAGAGAGAGAGAGAGAGAGGGAGGCGTGCATCCACTCTGTTTACCTCTCCGACTGCAGCACATCAGCACATACAGTGCTTTGGAAAGATCCTTCTAGGCAGAGGGTTATGCTGGACTAGACAGGAATGAGAACTGGACCAGGGGTGCAAGGACTCAAGTGCTGCCACCACTGGGTATATCTTTCTAGAACTCAGTTATTTTGTCTCTAAAAAAGGTTTGCGTCCCCACTTGTTGCAGAGCTTTGCAACATTAAACTAATAATGTTATAAAAAATAAGAGAGTAAAATAACATGATAATGACAAAGAAAACAACCACTTACTGAGTGAGGCATGGAGCAAGGCCCTATTCAGAGAATTGCCTCACTGAATCTCACCATGGCTCTGTTTTATAAAATAATTAAGTCTGGGAGAGGCGGGGTGACTTGTCCAAAGGTCCCAAAGCTAATAAACAGAAGAGCTGGGGTCCACACCCAGCTCAGTGCAACTCCCTAACAAACTCGGGCTTTTCCTGGGGCACAAAGCTGCTCTCAAGACACATTCTTTGAGGGGCGCCTGGGTGGCTCAGGTGGTTAAACGACTGCCTTCAGCTCAGGTCATGATCCTGGAGTCCCGGGATCGAGTCCCACATCGGGCTCCCTGCTCGGCAGGGAGTCTGCTTCTCCCTCTGACCCT